TGTGGTCTGCCCTGGCCAATGGGAGCGCGGGACGCGCCCCCCGCCCCGCCCCCGGGCGCTCCGGTGCCGCCGCCGCGCGCCCCCGGGACCGGCTCCGGCTGCGGCGGCGGCGGCGGGACCCGGCCCGGCCCCCGGGCACCGGCACGGCAGGTACCGCGCACGCCGGGGGGGAGCCGGGCCGGGGGCAGCCGGGCCGGAGCCCACCGGGGAGCCCCCGGGCAGCGGGAGCCCCGGGCGCGGCGGGTTCGGGGGCGGCGGGGACGCGCAGCTGCGGCTCCGTTACGGCGGAGCGGAGCCGTCCCGGGGCCGCGGGGCAGCGGCAGCGCCCGGCGTGCGGGGGGCACCGCGGGGCGCGGGCACGGCCTGGGCTCGGGGTCCGCGCGCCCCGGGGGTGCGGAGGGGGCGGCGGGGCCGCGGCGGGGGCAGGACGCGGTCCCGTGGGCAGGGCGCGGGCGCGTCCCCGACGGGCAGGACATGTCCCCGTAGGCACGACGCGTCCCCCCGTGGGCAGGACGCGGGCGCGTCCTCCATGAGCGCGACGCGTCCCCCCCGTGGGCAGGACACGCACCTGTAGGCACGGCGTGTCCCCCCCGGCGGGACGCGTCCCCCACGGGCAGGGCAGGTCCCCGGTGGGTGGGACACGTCCCCATGGGCAGGACGTGTCTCCCCCAACAGGACACGTCTCCCGTGGGCAGGGCATGTCCCTGTAGGCAGGACGTGTCCCCACGGGCAGGACGTGTCCCTGGGAAGCATCACCCGGTGCCGGGCGGGACGAGGACGCCGATCCCGGCTCCCCGTGGCCCCCCCACCCACGCAGCCCCCCATCCCCTGTCCCACAGGTCGCCCCCGCGCCGCTGAGCCATGCGGGATCGCCCGGCCCCCTCCCCGCCAGAGCCATGAGCGGCTGCCGGTACAATGGGGGGGTGACACGGCCCCGGGGCCCCCTGAGCGCCTCCGTCCGCTCCCTGCACCCGCTCGAGGGGGAGACCCAGCCCCTGCGGCCCTGCCCGTCCCCCGGCCTCGAGGTGGTGGTGTCGCGGCCGGAGCAGCCCGGGGGTCCGGAGCCCGGCCCGGCGGCGGCCCCGGGGCAGGATGGGGCTGAGGAGCGGGGAGGGGAACCCCGGAGGAACCAGAACATCGGGTACAAGCTGGGCCACCGGCGAGCCCTCTTCGAGAAGCGGAAGCGCCTCAGCGATTACGCCCTGATCTTCGGGATGTTCGGCATCGTGGTCATGGTCACGGAGACGGAGCTGTCCTGGGGGGTCTACACCAAGGTTGGGGGGGCGGTGGGAGGCGGGTGGGGGTCCGTCCGGGGGTCCGTCCGGGCTCACCCTGCCCCGCTCCCCTGGCAGGAGTCGTCGTATTCGTTTGCACTGAAATGCCTTATCAGCCTCTCGACCCTCATCCTCCTGGGGCTCATCGTCATGTACCACGCCAGGGAGATCCAGGTGAGGGGCACCCGCCCGTGGGGGTCACCGGGGTGGTCCTGCCGCCCCGGGGGTCCCACCGGCGCCCTCTGTGCCCCCACAGCTGTTCATGGTGGACAACGGCGCCGACGACTGGCGCATCGCCATGACCTACGAGCGCATCTTCTTCATCGCGCTGGAGCTCATCGTGTGCGCCATCCACCCCATCCCCGGGCAGTACCTGTTCACCTGGACCGCCCGCCTGGCCTTCACCTACGCCGCCTCCGTGGCCGACGCCGACGTGGACATCATCCTGTCCATCCCCATGTTCCTGCGGCTCTACCTGATCGGGCGCGTGATGCTCCTGCACAGCAAACTCTTCACCGACGCCTCGTCCCGCAGCATCGGGGCCCTCAACAAGATCAACTTCAACACCCGCTTCGTCATGAAGACCCTCATGACCATCTGCCCCGGCACCGTCCTGCTGGTGTTCAGCATCTCCTCCTGGATCATCGCCGCCTGGACCGTCCGCGTCTGCGAGAGGTGCGGGGGGGGCTCCCCGGAGGGGCTGGGGGGGAACACGGGGCTGGGGGGCAGCTGAGGACACACGGTGCAGACCCCGAGGGGGGGTCGGGGCAGAGGAGAGACCCTCTGGGGAAGAGACCTCTTGGAGAAGAGCCCCCCCACTGCCTGGGCTGACCCCCCTTGGTGGGACCCCCGGGGTGGCCACGATGGTTTTTCCAAACCGAACCAGCTCGCCAAGGCGAGGTGGGGGTGGCTGGACCCCCAGGGTGTCCCCAAACCTGTCCCAAGCTCCTCTGGGCCCCCCTGGGGTGGGGCAGGACCCGCTCTCTGCTGCCCAGGTGGAGCTGGGGGTCGCTCAGAGGGGACCAAGGACCTGGGGTCTCACAGAGGGGACTGAGGACCTGGGGGTCTCACAGAGGGGTCCCAGGAGGTGGGTGGGGGTCCCGCGGAGGGGACCTGGCTCGGGGTGTGCCCGCGCTCCTCAGCTGCTCCCGCGGGGCGGGGCCGGGATGCCCGCGCCGGTGCCCTCCCTGTGCCCGCCCCTTCTGGGCCGGGCCCCCCCCCGGGCCGCGCATTAACTGCTCTTGTTTTCCCTCCCCGACGCTCTGCTGCTTGCAGGGACAAACTGTGAGTGACCCCAGGGACCCCCAGCGCGTCCTGCACGGGGCGGCCCCGCCCCAGGCTTCTGCTTCCCAGAATTTAGGATTAGCTGCAGCCAGAGCCGGGGGGGGGACGGAGGGGGGGGACGGGACACAGGGCTGGGGGCCGGGGGGGCAAAGAGGCCGTGGACACGGAAAGGGCTGGAGCCCTTTTCCACTTGGAACCTCAGCAGCTGCTTCCTGTCCCCCCTGTGCCCCCCAGCTGGGGGGGCCGTGGTGCCCAGCCTGGCTGTGGGCACGGAATGGGGGTCCTGATGGGATGGGGGGGTCGGGGCACAGCTCCTTCTGTGCTGGCTCTTGGGGGGCTCTTGGAGGGAGGGGTTGCTGCAGGGATTGCTGTGGGTTCTGGGGTGACCCTGGAAGGGGAGACCCCGGCAAGAAGCTGGGAAGGAGCCACTGGATCCTTATTGCTTCGAACAAGAGGCTTCGAATGAGCCTCCAAAGGGTTTTCCTTGGCTCTGGACATCGTTCCTTGGTGTTTCCCCTCCTTAACCTGCATGTGTTGAGTGCCTGGAGGGAGTCCTGGGTGCTCCTTGGGAGTGGGGAGATCTGCAGGTCCTGGGGAGCATCACTGTGGGGTGACATCCCGGGCTGCCAACCCCACCCAGGGTGTGGGGTGCCCCCAGCATCTCCCTGCCCTGGGATGAGGGGTGCCCCCAGCACCACCCTGTCCATGGTGCCCCCCCCATCTCCCTGCCATGCCCCTCAGTGCCAGATGAGGTTCCAAGCCCCCCGGGGGGGCCGGGTGGGGGGACGCAGCAATCCTAAATTCCTCACCGCACGCTTGAGCCCCCCCCCGGCTTGCTCCCGTCTCCCCCCTTCCCTCCCCTCACCCCCAGCACCCCGTTTTCCCAGCTCCCCACTGCTCCCAGCATGTCCCAGCCCTGCTGCCCAGCTTGGCCACTGCTCTGTGTCCCCGGCCGGGCTCGTCCCCCTGTCACGGGGGTCCCTCGGGGAGGGGGGGGGGCACGGCCGGCCGTGTCCGTGGCGCCGGCTCTGGCCACGGAATCTCAAAGCACAGCGTCCCCCACTGCCCACCCGGTGTCACCCACGCTGGTTTCGGGGCCCCTCGGGGCCGGGGTGGCCCCCCGGGAGCTCGGGGTGCCCCAGTTCATCCAGGTCTCTGCAGGGACGGGGTGTCCCCTCCCCGGGGGTCTGCGGTGACACCCGTGTGCTGTGCTTTGAGATCTCTGGGAGGGCTCCAGGGGGACGGAGGTCACCGGGGGGCTGCTCCGAGCCTGTCCCCTTGCTGTCCTCATCCAGCAGCACCCCCCGACCCAGCCCCACTCCTGGGGGGGCACAGCCCACTCGGGGCATCCCTCCTCCCCGTGTCTGGAGCGGCCGTGCCTGATGTCCCCGGGGTGTCCCCAACTTCTCTGGGGCTCCCAGCAGCACATCTGGGAGCCCGGGGACTCTCCTTGGCTGGGAACACGCCCCAAACCCCTCGTGGCAGGGCGGCGGCACCGCGAGAGGGGCGAGCGCGGGGCGGGCGGTGCCAGCGGTGCCAGCGGTGACAGCGGCTGCGCTCGGCCCCGGGCAGGTACCACGACAAGCAGGAGGTGACCAGCAACTTCCTGGGGGCCATGTGGCTGATCTCCATCACCTTCCTGTCCATCGGCTACGGGGACATGGTGCCGCACACCTACTGCGGGAAGGGCGTCTGCCTGCTCACCGGCATCATGGTGAGCGCCGCGGCGGGGGGGGGACACACACACACG